GGAGGCAAAACGAGGAATTTGGAAAATATATCGCCCCACCTCAGATCATCCCAATCTTGGCAATTGAGTCTCTGCAAGCAGAGGTGGAATTTATAAGGTTATAACTTTTCCCCAGAATCCTACAAAGCTGAATGCTCTGGGTCCTTTCTACCAAACCACTTGCTTTGACCACCAGGGGGCAGGCTGCAGCTAAGAACAGGGCAGTGGACACCTGAAAGCAGAGCTCCATCCTTGTTCCCCCCAGGCCTGTCCCACGTGCCTGAGGGCTCACCCAAAGTCAGCTGGTCTGGCAGTGGCCTGTGGAATTCCTTTTCCATTTGCAATGGAAGCTGCCAGAGTTGGGTTAGTCTCTCAGTGAATCATTCCGTCATTTCATTTGTTAAGTTTGAGAACCACTCACTTCAGAATCATGGTGGGAGGAGCATAATAAAAAGCAGATTCTGCGCTCTGCTTATGGAGGCCGAATCTGGAATGGAGGGACTGGGCCTAAGAATCTGTATTTTATGCAAACTCTCTGAGTGCTTCTGATGTAGCTGGTACAGAACCATACTTTGACAGAAAATGCTTTAAACAGTAGTTGAAGCCCAAAGCAGTCCCTAAACAGAGACTTTGGTTTTGTATCACGCCCAGGATTCAAGCGGGCAAATAAAAGTAGCCATACATACCATGCCACCTGAGGGCTGTAGGCCATCAGATGTGTGGTCTTTGGCACACCTGAGGTGACGCAGCTACTCTTGGCCACATGAATAAACACTCAAGGTAAGGTGAAGGAGGCTGGAGACGAAGGAGAAATCTCACTGCCCAGGCTGAATACCAGTGCAGGCTGGCCCTGTCCTCTCCCGACGCCATTCGTGCTCAAGTTCCTTCTCGCCATTTCTGGGCACTGGTTTCCTTATTTTATCTCCTTTAATTTATCTCCCTCCTCCTCATTGCTCAAAAAAGCATCTTGGATTTAGAGGCAGCTAAGCTCTCTTCTAACAATAATCCTTGTTTGTTGTCCTTCGTTGGTGCTAAGAACCATGTTACAACGTGGTACCCCGATGCACTAACAGCTTTCCAGGGAGGAGTGGGAGTGAAACCCAACATCAAACATGCACATCCATTGTGAAGTGTAGCCCAGTTCCAGAATCCATTTAAAAAGTGTTTTAGAGCTGAGAAGATTTCTCTCTTCTCATAACTTAATGTTACTTTATTCATTCAAAATTCATTAAGTGCCTGCTGTGCCAAGAACCCGTTCTGGCTGCTGTAGGAGGTTAAGCAAGATTCACGAGGCCATTGCCCTCACAGTGCTGATATTATGGTGTAGGAGGCAGGTAATCCAAGAATAATACACAGAGGAATTAGTGAATCAGAGATTTGGAGACTGTGACTGGTACTGTGAAAGTAAAAAGGGTTACATGGTAGAGATGCAATGGAGAGGCCAAATTTTGATAGGGAATTCAGGGAGGAGCTTTCTGAGGAGGGGTCCATGGATCAGGTAAGAAAGAAGAGACAGATCAGAGGAAGAGTATTCCAGGTAGAAAGAACTTCCATGTGGTTTCTACCGACACTTCGGTCCATGGCTGCGGAATTTTCACTCATTGCTTAACTCAGCATTTATTGAGTGCCTTTTCTATGGCGGCATGATGCCAATTCCTCAGAGTGCAGTTGCGAGCAAGAAAGACAGTTTTTGCCTTTCTAATATTTATAATTTTTAAAGATAAGGCTCTATTAACCCTCAGTTACTAAGTTTAACCATTTATCTTCTTCATCCGAGAAAATCTATTCTAGGTTTTGAATTAGCATTGCCTTGATGGGGACGCCTCTGTGATTACAAATACCAAAACCCAAGGAGAAAATCACCTACGGAGGTCACGAGAACTTGGATACGGTGTCCAGTGGCTCAGATAAAAAAGATCTAGCCACCATTTCTTGCTCATATTTAGGGGAGAAAGAGCATCTCTTCACTCTCTGGAACTTCCTTCATACTATCCCAGTTCTGAGTAAGAGGAAATGGGTTCCCAAAACAGAACTTATGATTTCCATAACTAAATAAGTCCATTCAGGCATTGTCATTTTGGGTGTCATCTCGGTGCTGAGCAAAAGTACAGTGGCCTGGCCTTCCCCTGATGGCCCCCTGTCCACACTTCTCAGATCTTGGAGGCTGTCAAAGAGGAAATAAATATTTGTCTTTGAACCTCTTGGCTGCCTTTTAGAAGTTCTCACTGAAGATGGATGATGGGAATAAAAATGGCAACAAACTACAGGTGAGCTTTGCTCCTAACCCTCCCAGGAAGCCCCTGCCTCTCCTAGAGCAGAAAGTCATAACTGACAGATGCTGCCAAACCTCAGGCAAAAAGCCGATTTTTACCCCTGGGTTTCAGAACGTTTCCTCTGTATCTGAATTACTAATAAAGAAGGAAGAAAAGAAACAGGTGGAATAGGGAGAGGCCTGCTTCGGGGCCACAGGCAGGAGTGGTCTGGAACTGGTGCATGGGACTTTCGGGAGGGGTTAGAGGAATGAACGGGTCCACCAGAATCCTGGGCCTTACCCCTAGAGGTTCTGATCAGTGCGGCGTGAGGCCTAGAAGTCAAGTTATCTTAAAAAATTGTTTTTGGAGCTTATGATAATCATTTAGGTTTCTGAGTCATTGAACTAGGGACTGATCAGCAATCTCCTAGTTAGTTCTCCTCCCATCCTGACATCTTCTGTGTCTCCACCGCCTTTCTCCAATACCAGGCCTCCGGTTCAGTCTTATTTTGTTATTATCCCCTAGAGGCCTGTGGCTGAAACCTGAGTCAGTCCCAGCACCACGCTAGGTGGAATAATTGACTTGGGCCTGTTCAGTAAAGGCTTTGGGTTACCAGAAACCCATCTGCTGGCCGTTCTCACCAAGGAAACGGGAGCCAGATCACTTTCACTGGGCATCAACCCCATGCTTCCCAGTGTGCAGGGAGGAAGGAAGATCCACCCCGCTTCTGGCACTTTCACTACAAACAACTCCCATGTGGCTCCCAAAGCCCTTTTCATTAATATCTCAACACCTCCCAGAATAGCCTGCATGGGTTGTCAGGAAGAGCTCATGTCAAAGGAATAACAGCTTCGCTCTTCCATTCCACCTCCTGGGCGCTGCGCCCACATACTCTGTTCATTTGAGACAAATTTAACAGCTGACTCTTCAAAACACCTTGCTTCCGTTTGCTGGTCCTTTTCTCTTTATGGTCTCTGAGAACCTAGTGACTGAAATAATTTTTATCATCTTAAAAATAAATTTAAAAAAATTTAAAGTAATACATTTACATAATTTGAAAGTCAAATGTACTACAAAGCCTCTAAGAAAAAAATAGCAATTTCTTCTTCCTTCTCTCTACAGATGCTAACACTTCCAACTCTTGGGGTGGTTTTAGAAGAGAAGTACTCTATACTTCTAAGTAACATTCTTGTAATATTTGTATAGTGCTTTTTCAATTTGGAATATTATCTATTGACTTCCTATTATGTAAGTTGAGAAGACAGCACTTTTACACACATTCATTCTCACCACCCCACCCAGAATTTCCCTCTCCTCCCAATAGTTAGGTCATATTTTTTATTAAATTGGTATAAGTGTTTACATTATGATTGTACAAGCGTTTATTGTTGACCCAATTATAGTATACAATGATTGTTTTTCTTTAATATTTTGTTCTCAGAGTTCCTTTCTATTTGCTCATTCTATGTATATACCATCAAAATTTCCCACGATCTTCACAGAATTATAAAACCCCTCTCAATACTTTGTTCTACTTGGTCAAAGGCCCTGAGTGATTGCCTAGTTTTATTTCCCCCTTGGAGACACTCCTGGAACCCTACGTTTCCCTGCTCCTACGTGAACTGGCTGCTCAACTTTAAACCTGTGTCTGTCTTTGCATCTCTCTGTACTGGGGCTCCTGTTTTCTGGATCTCATTATCCATCTACTTCTTGATTTACTAACCCATTTTGTGCAAGCACATACTTCGGTAGCTTCCTGAATATAAAGATATCGGACATGAACTTTAAAAAGCTTCGATCTTTATTGGACTTTTATACTTGATTAATTCATTATACAATTCTAGGTTGAAAATCATTTCTCTTGGAATTTTTAAAGCATTGTTCGCCATCTTTCAGTTTCCTGTTACTGTTGAAAACATTGATTCTATTCTGTGTCCCTATTTTTTGTTATAACTTTCTCTCTCTCTCTCTCCCTCCTTCTTCTTCTCCCTCTCCCCTCCTTTCCCATCTTTTTCTAAAAAAGCTGTGCTATGTGGGGTCAAAGGGTTTATAAGAAATCTCTGTACATAGGAAATCTCTTTACCTTCCCCTCAGTTTTGCTGTGAACTAAAAACTGACCTAAAAGTAGTCTTAAAAAAAAAAAAAAAAAAAAACTTCAGTCAGGGGTAGGGGAAAATACATGGAAGCTTTCAGGATTTTTTTTCTTTATCCCCAGTACTTAAAATTTTATGATGATGAGTCTAGATTGGTCTTCATTACTCATTTTCTAGGCATTTTAACTTTTGCCAAATTGACTGATTTGCCAATAGGCAAAAAAATACCTTATCAATATATTAATGTTTGGTTACCTTGTTAATTGTGAGATTAAATAGCTCTTCATATATTTATTTGCTGTCTTTAAAATTTCTTCTTCTGTGAATTTTGTACTCATATTTTTCCTATATTTCTAGGGTGTTGTTTGTATTTTTCTTACTGAT